AAAAAATGTTATACTCAATTTGGAGGTAAAAACAGAGTGACCAACTTATCTTACTATAAAGGTTTCTTCCTAAATACTTAGAGAGTAAAGGGTATCTAATATAACTTTATACTATAGAAGTAGTATTTATGTGTATTTATAGTTAAGATATTTTAACTAATAATAACAAATATTACTAGCCCCCTCGGCTAAATCTATGTTAATAAATAATAATACAAAAATAAAATACCTAGACTCGTGAGAAGATGCCGAAGTTCTGCAGATGATATATATCCATTACCATCTTTGTCAAAATGGCGTAATCCTTCATTGAAATCTTCAGCAGTATTAGATGATCGATTTTTTGAAATTGCTTGATAAATCGGTAGAAATACTTCAAATGTTATTCTTTCATCTGTAAGAAAATAAAATATCTATATTACACCAGTCTTCAGATGTTCAAAATAACCTAATATATAAAACTAAACTATACTCCGTCCAACAAAAGAATGCGCTAATTCAGTACATCCCTATGCAACACCCTGCCAGGTGGAACCAGTCTTTATGGCAGAATAGCTTCTTTACGTTGGGCGCATTCCTCAATAGACATAATACTTACATCTTTTCAAGAATGTTTTCAAAACAAATAGATATTTCTGGGAGAAAAAATATCTTTTTAATATGATTCAGATAACATAATAACAATTTTTAATAAAACGTTAAACGTTTACCTAAATCAAACTTAAAATTAACAACTTTTGTATTTTTTATATTTTAATTTTAAAATGAAATGATAGATTTTTGTGACATCTGTTGAAAATTAAAATATCTAAAAAAAAATAAAATATTCTTTAAGTTTGATAGGAAATAGGTCAAGTCAATGTATGCCAACATAAAGACTTACGTCACAAATTTGGAACCACCAAATTCTAATTTTCTATGATGTATGTTTATAAGACAGACGACACAAGCGGATGTAGCGTTCTTCTTAATATATATTATATAGTTCAATAAAAAATTTTACTTCTGGCTACTATTTTAAATCTCAGGTAGGCCTGCCTATGAATACATGACCACACCTACAGCTGTAAGTGAATGTTGGGTATTTTTTTAAATATTTAAACCTAAGATGAATCAATTCTGTTCTATTATACAGATTCCCATGTAGAATCAGTAAGAAGTTCGTCCAAACTTGTTTATCATAGATTCTTGATTTTAAAATGCAAAAACGAGTTTTGATTACCAATTATTTTTCCAGATTGTTTGGGAATCAATTAAAAAATGCATTAATTTTTTTTTTAGACTTTAATCAATAATTGAAGAATCAATTGTTAGGGTGGTATGCCAAATTTAAACATACCAATTGAAAGCTACCAAATAAAATGAATCATATTTTAAATCCTTCAATTTTCATACTTCAATTTATGTAGGGGAGTAAAACATGTTTTTATTCTTTAAGTTGTACAATGTGAAAATAAATTTTACCTGCTTTGTGTTGTTGAGTAAATTTATTGACATCAGATTCAGTTGGGTTTTGACCTAATGCTCGTAGAGCATTGCCAATTTGTGATATATGTATTTTGTTATCGCCTCGAATATCAAATAATTGAAATGCTTCCTGCATTTCTGTAAATAAAATCCATTTACATTAATATAATAGTGCACAGTAAAATTATTTATAATTATTACCATCCATTGAAGTTATAACTTTTACAGTATCATAATTATAAGAATACATTTTAGATAATATTTTAGAAAAAGTTATATTATTATAAAGTTACTCTCGACCACATACTACAGTATTACACTATGATGTCTGTTGTACTTAATAAGTACACTCACTCTTTTTTAACCTTGTCACACAAATTTCTATTAGCTATGAGGACGAGTTTCACATTAGGACCAAATAAGGTAATGAGATTGTAGTCAATACCTTAGCTGTACTACATTCATAATTCAATAATATACAGAGTGTAGGTACTTACCAGACAGATGTTCATCCGAATAAGACGCCTGCGGGCAAATTAATTAAAACTAAATTAATACAGTGAATAAACTAAAGAATATATTTGTATATTGATGTACAAATATAGTATAATATTATACATGTTATTAGTTTTGTAGATATAGTAATTTTTATTATTATTGAAGAAATTATAATTCTTACCGTTTTACTCATGGTGTTGGTTGTTTGATTTAATTATTTGAATTTATATTATTAATGTTAATAATCGTGTTACTAGTGATGAATGACAAAATAATTATTCGGTTCCGTAAATTCTAAGATTTTGTCATTACTTGATTAGTCAATCATGACCATGATTCATTACCTAAAAATCTAAGGAATTTTTACAAAAGCAACAGTGACATTAGTCAGTTATTACAGTGATAACACGTATACAACAAACAGTATATCCATATGGGTAATAAATATTTACCTTTTACTGATCGTATTATGTGACATGTCATATTTTAATATTTATAATTCATTTTATTTTTAATCAATGTAATTCTTAGTTAAAATTTAGATTGTAATAAATTAGTCAGTTAAATCCACACTTCACATGAATAATAAAACTAATAAAAGAATAAATTCTTGATTATAATCTAGACAAGTGGCTCTCAATCGGTGGTTAAATGTGATGAATTCATAGACCTTATACAGTCTGTTACTCTGTTATACCTACGACTAGTATGGCCGAAATTGGGGGTTGGGATTGAGTATTTGATTGGGCTTAGCACCCCCCCCCTCACCACCCCAAAAATATAGTTTTCTAGTTGTGGGATCTGTGTTATTATTATATAACATGTATGTTAGTCCAGTCATATTAGGTTTTCAGCTCGAAAAAATTCCCACCTAGCTGAATTTTGGTACACACCTTTATGGCTTATTTATGACATCGTTGTAAACAACGTGTGAAAAGTCGCCATCTGTATCATGTACTCGTCAAAGGTTATTCGAGGTCAAAGGTCACGAATTTGGCCTTTTTATGAGTCGTACAATAAAAAGTTCTGGTTATAAATTGTAGAGGAAGTAATTATCTACAAAAAAGATCTTATGACATTTTCAAGTAAAAGTTATAGTTTTTGCGTTATAAGGCCATCAAAATGTAGGTACACTTTTAATGAAATATGAAATTTTGCTAAAAACAAGTAGCCTTTGAGTTAATATCTCGCTTTATACTGGTTGTACAAAAAAAAATGTTCATACAAAAATTGTGGAGGACTAAATTATCTACATGATGGTTATACACTTATACATATATATCCAATCGCACTTGCGGTATACGAATTTTCACGTTTACCGTACAAAATTAGGATAATATTATATATTATAATATATGTAGATTGTAGGTATATTAGGGCGGTGCTTATAGCTATAGAGGTCAATTTTTTTTTTGAAATTTAATGACGAGTGCAGCTTCAAACTTTGTTATATGTATTAAAAAAATAATTATGATAAAGTTTGACCGTGATAAGTCTACCATTTACCGTGCCTCATAGGGGTTGAAGTTTTATTAATTGGGGATGAATTTCTATTTTTTTGCATGTACTTTCTTAAATATTGATATTACGCAAAAAACTTAAAGTACTATTATTGTAGCTATAGGTATATATTTACTAAATAAAAGTTTCTTCTTTCTCATATTTCGTGACCTTAGACCTTGAATAACCTTTGACGCGTACATGATACAGATGGTGACTTTTCACACGTTTTTTACAACGATATCATAGGGATTTTCAGTTAAGAATTTTTCCTAGCTGTACCCTTTTTTTGGTCTAATATGACTGGACTTAAGGACTTTGTATGTATAATGTATATTGGTTAGTTTATAGATTTAATATCTACCTAAGGGCATGATTATCCGTGGTTTGATGCCTTACGGCTACAACCGCGAACCTTGTATTAGCGCGGAGCTCTAGTTAAGAGACGCGGAGGCCTCAGTCGCCGAACCCGGTTTTACCCGTAGCCGTATGCGACTGGCCGCCAGAGGTGGACGGCACACCGGCGGTGGCCTCTTCTCGCCTGCCGTTAAAGCGGCCGGATCTGCGTGACCGCTGTCCCCGGACGCCCGCCGGTTACGGTGTTTGCCGGCTACACCAGCGAAGAACCAACAACCCGCTCGAATCCGACTCCAACGGATTGGAAATCCGATTGACCGGGCGGGAAGCATTTCTGACTCGAATACTCCCCTGGGCTAACCCGGCCCCCGAGCTACCGTTCATATGTGTCAGCGGTTGGACATACTTCGGCGGCCGCCTCCGCCTACCGAATTTGGGGGGGGGGGGGGTACCCTACAGACAAGCCGTCAGCCGCAAGCCCGATCCATCTCCGCTATGCCAGCATTGGTTTCACGAGCCTGACTGATACTGAGACGCTTGATGGTTGAAAGTCGGAGCAAGCTCCGGCACCCGTGTTACCTGCACACGCTGGTGTGTAATATACGCTAGCTGGTATAAATGTATAATAAATATAAGTATAAAAAAAATGATATTTATTTAAACCATGTTTCAGTTTTTTACAATGTGATTTCAATTTCAAGTTTCGGCCAAATAAACAAGCGCTGACATATTGACATATTGTCATCAAGACAATGCAAATATAAATATCATTTTTTTAATACTTATATCTATTATACCTACCTAATAACTAATAAGTGTTATGATAAAATTATATTTTTTGACTTATTTTGTCGGTACACTATATAGTGATATTATAATATCATTACTAATAAATTATAAGTAATAACTGGAAAAAATATTATTATTTTTTAACTCTATAGTGTGCAATTATTAAATCTTTACGTAAGGGTTCCTAAACTTTAAGATTCAAAAATTTATAATTGGCGGAAAAAGGAATGACGTTTTTTCTAATATGGCGGAAGAAGGTATTGGCGGAAAACGGAAAGGTAATTTTTGGCGGAAACCGGTGACACCCACTATAGGGTATAGTAGCTTTAGGTATAGTAGCCTAGTACCTTTTATTAGTCCTTTTGGAATTTTTAAATATACTTACTTAAGGACCATATTATAAATTCTTGAGGTTTTTTCTACAACCTACTTAAGGCACTTCTGTGGAGATACAAACTTGTTTTTTTGACAATTTTAGTCATTTATATTAATTTTTCAGCATAAATAATTTGTAAAAATGGCCTAAATATAATAAATACTAGTTTCAATATTACATTTATTTTATATTTTTGTAAAACCATTTTTAAGGACTATTATCCTAATAGTACAAACTATTTAATAACTAAGAAATTAGTAATTACTCATTCAAATTTTGTATTAGGTACACCAACATTTTCAAAAAATAGAGCCACTAAATGATGTACAGTAAAGGAGGGGGAATAGCGGACATTTCCCCCAATCAACTGTTTTCGGTGTAGTTGGACATTTCCCCCCCATTTTTTTTTTTAAATTTACAATTTAATAATATTATATTATTATTTAATATGAAATTAATTTATGCCTATTGTCTAATATTTTCATAAATATAATAAATTATAGATGTATATTTTTGATCAACTGAACTACTTGAATCAGATTCGCAAGCAATTAAATTGTTAAATATTCCAACTGGTAGGTTCATCAAATTTCAATCAGAATTCAAATATTTTTTACAAAATGTATTATTTTTATGTCGGAATTTTTAACCATATTTATTACCTAATAATTAATTACCTATATTTTACTTTATACCTACCTACTTATTTTTTTTTTAAATCTTTATTGTTTTAAGTAACTAGTTCAGTTCATTAAACATATACATTTATAATCTATTAAATTTTATAATTTATTTTAAAAAAAAATGTCATATATTATTAAATTTAAATTAGTCAATAATTAACTAGAAAAAAAATGGACGGAAAATTTCCGCATCAAATTATATTGGGGGAAATGTCCTACTACACCGAAAACAGTTGAGGGGGAAATGTCCATTTACCAGGAGGACAAGGGGGTTCTAATTTGAAAAAATTTTTATCGCCACAACCATAAGACCTTAATACAGCCACGACCTTAAGTAGATCAAAAAAATTCAAGAATTTGAAAAAATTATAAGGGTAGGTATATTTAAAAATTCCAAATATCAAAATTGTAATAAATTCATACTAAAGGGGGTGAGTATCAATAATAAATCTGTACATATTATAATTGTAACCATTGAATTGAAATTGCAACATTTATAAAAAAAAACAATACTACCGAGTATCGACTATATTCTAGACAAATTGAAATATTATCAGTAAGACCCGGAATTTCATGACCTAAAAATCTTTTAAAATATACAAAAAAAATTTTTAAATGACTTATAAACATCAAAAAATGATTTAAAAAATGATCACAAAAATACCAAAAATTACTTTATGACTTATCATTTATTAAAATATGCTGTTTATACAATTCATGCATCATAAACCGTAACTATTATAGGTGCTCTTTAAATATGTTTAATATCGAAGGAGCCTTCAAAAATATTTTTTTGCAGTTTCAAATAAGTTGATCGACTTTTGGGACATTTTTTCTGATTGACCAGGCCTAAGTACTGCCTGTTTACTAAATAATCGTAGATTGCGACAACAAACGATAAAGATAATGAACGTCGGTAATGGACAAGCTTATGGAAACTGAATGTGAGAATAAAGTGCAACTTTAAACAAAAAAAAATAAAATGCACCAAAACTACTAAAAAATAACAGTCAAGTAATAAATTCCCTAAAAATGCAAAAAAAATGCAAAATAAAAATTGTACCTACCATTAAATTCTATATTCCATGAATCAAATTTCTGTAAAGACGAGCCTCAAATGTAAGCATTAGAAAAAAAGATGAAAATGCATCAAGTTCCGGGCAGTTATCAGTATTGTATTGTAGTAATACTATTATTAAACCTATTATGTTCGGTAGGAGTATCCAATATCTACTATGAAAAACACAAAATGTGTAATTAATGATGAATCGTGGTTTAAACTTTATAAACTAATTTGTTCATACAATGGATACTGTATTATGTAGATTAGAATATAATTAATAAAAGATTTAATTAATACTTCAATTAAACTATACATTTAAAGGCTAAGCTCCTCCAAGTCCCCCCCCACCCAATTACGCCTATGGACCTACTCAATAAGGAGGCACACTCGAGACCTACTATATAGCAGAGTTCCCCAATTAATTGTTTCAATAAATTATAATTTTTCAGAAAAAGTATGAATATTCATATAATTAAATTATAAGTTTTGAATTATAATTAGAACAATATCAAAATAATGTTGATAAAATTCAGAGCATTAAAAAATAATTATTTCAACAATTAAAAACTACATTTATGAATCGATTAAATTTTTTGGAATTTGGTAAATGCTATTCATAAATTAGTACAGAATCACTTATTAGTACAAATTACAAAATAATTGTATTATTTTAGTTGTGTACAATTTTTTTTTCATTCTTCAGCTGATCATGAAGAACACCTTTCGTGTTTGCAGTTTGTAAACCTTCTGGTTTTATAGTAAATTTTCAATAATTTTGTGATAAAATTATAATCCTATAAAGCACCAATGTTTTAAGATTTAAAACATAGGACTATAATGTGAAACAATAAGATCACTTATTCCACCTGAAAAAATAATAATAGAAAAAAAAATAACACTTCAATTACAGAAATGAATTAACATAATGCAAAATATACTGTATACAATTGAATACTTCTTTTATTCTTAATCAATTTAAGCACATAGCATAAAATATTATACTGAAAATAAAATTTAGCTTAAAATGAAAATCCTTTTTATACAAAATTTTATAATTTAATTGAAATATTTTATACTTGGAAAAAATTATTTTAGAGGTATATATAAAACAAAGAAAAAAGTATTAAATAAATCAGTAAGTCAAAATTTTAGTAAACAAAAAAACGAAATTGCTAGCCATTTTTTAAAATTATGTACCAATGTTCTGTTACTAATAAATAATAATTGATACTTCAATAAGTTACTATGATTAATAATACATTTTAAATTAAAAAATAATTTTCTTACAATTTCAATTATTTGAATGTTAAAAAAAATGCTGATAAAAATAATTAATATTGAAACAATACTCTATGATGAGACAATCCGGTGTAAAAAAAAAAAATATATAAATATATAATAATAAACACAAAAATTTCATCACATAAACATTAGTTAGTTTCAAATAAATAGTAATATTTAATGTTCTTTAAAAATATCTCATAAAAATGAATAAAAATTAATTACTTATAATAAAGTTGTTTGTTTCTAGTCTAAAAATAGTTTAAATATAAAATAACTTAAGGTATATAATTTTAAAATAAAATATTACTTTTTTTGTCCAAATAATCAATATGTTATAATATGTGAAGGAAATAGTAATATATTATAAGATGGTCTCGTTATTCGAACTGTAACATGTAGTCCAATTCTTCAATAACAACTTCACAATTTCCGTATTAGCATTTTTTGACGCAAACTGTAATAATGTAATACCAGCATCATTTATGTGATTCACATTTGAACCTTTTTCTATTAGTAAGCGAACTAATTCTGTATCATTTTTATGTATTGCATAGTATAATGCTGTATTTCCTTCTCCATCAAGAAGATCATCCCATGTTCTAACATATTCTAGTAAAAATCGGGCAATGTCACAATGACCTAAATGTGTGGCATATCCTACTAGACTTGATATAACTGAAATGGGTGGTTGAACACGTTTAACAAATAACTTAATTATTTCTAGAGATCCAGTAAAACCAATTATCTTGAACCAAAATACTTCATCCTTTAATATTGATTCATTAGTTCTATCAATTATAATTTTAATTATGTGTATGTTTCCGGAACGTAAAGCCACACTAAACAAATCAGTATCAATACTACATTTATTTTTATTCAATAAAAACTTTATTAACTTTTCATTAGTACTTAAAATAGCATTGTGTAATGGTGACATATTGTTTTTATTTCGACAATCCATATTTGATGTATTCAAACATAATAACTTTACAGCATCAATAGCACCACGTAAACAAGCAAGGTGTATAGGCAAGTCATTGTCTTTGTTTGGAATATTTGGATCGGCTCCATGTTTCAATAAAACTTCAACCATTTTTTCATTTCCATTACAAGCCGCATAATGTAACGGTGTATTGCATTGCATAGTAACAGCATTCACGTCAACATAGCACTTTAATAGTTCCTCTACCACTAAAAATCTATCGTGTTTGGCAGCAAAATGTAAAGGTGTTACTTTGCTATTTGTTTTCTTATTTGGTCTAGAACCAGCAGCTAACAATATTTTTACAATTTCCCAATGTCCTTGATATGCAGCATAATGTAAAGCAGTAAGTCCATTTTCATCTGTTATATGAATGTCAGCTTTCATCACAAGTATTTGAACAGAATCAATACTTCCAGAAATAACTGCATGGTGTAAAGGTGTCATGCCCTCTCGTGTAATACCATTTTGGTCACAACCTATTTCTATTAGTTTTTTCAGTAATTCAGTAGAAGCTTTAAATATAGCAGCATAATGTAAGGCATTCCATTTTTTTACATCTGTGTGCAAAGGGCAAATACCACTTTCAGCCAATATCCAACTGTGTTCGTTTTTATGATTATGAATAGCTAACATCAAAGAATTCAAACAGTCTGCTGTAAATGTCTTATTTACATCAGCGCCATAATCAATTAATGTTTTCAAAATTATTGGAGTTGAAATTAACGTAGCATAAATCAGTGGTGTGCCAACACAATTTGATGTTGCTTCTAAATCAATATCAGAATACTCGCATAAATATTTGACAATAGTTACATTTTCAGACTTAATAGCCATATGAAGTCCTGTGAAACCGGTCCCCGTAAAAGTATTGACATTGATGGTGGGAAGTCTTAATAAAAATTGAATCAAGTGAAAATTGCCCATTTCGATAGCTAAATGCAAGGGTGTGTAATCTTTCTGTAATTTATTTACTCTATTGTATAATGACATAAAATTTTGTACAGTACTTGTTGTGCAAATGTTTTTATTGTAACTAATTTGAAACATTGAATCAAATACAGGCAATTTTTTTTCATTAAAGCGATTTTGAGAAAGTTTCATGTTTTTATACTTAATCTTCTTGCTGTTTGGATTTGGTAATGGATCTTCAAAACATTCATACTTGAATACGGGCATCATGTTTACCTAAAATATTACCAGTATTAAAATTATTTAATTAAATAACTTATTCAAATGTAGGTATATACGTAGTGTATGTACATTTTTGTTTCATATTGATTATAATTTTATTCAATTTACCTACTAAAAATTAAAATAGAATTAAAATTCTCTGGGTTATAAATTAAATCAAAATAATTAAACGGAGCCAAATCTTTAAGAAGGTAATCAGAAAATATTATATTTATACTGTATAGTACACCTGCCAAGTTTTCAAAGGAATAACAAAACATTTTACTGATAAAGCGTTGAAAGTTTTTAATGTTTACGGTATAGTGTAAACTTTTACAACTATATACATCAGTGACGGTTTTGAGGAGGGCAATTGAGCACTCCCCGATTGAAACCATAGCTAACAAGATGAACATTATTTATCTAGGTAATTATCTGTACATTATCTGTAATATATATATTTTGAGTTTGGCACTATAATATGCATAATAATTATATAATAATAATATACATATTAATATATTATAACATAGAAAGCTTGAACTTTGAATAGGGTTTTTTTACACAGAAGTTAATAGTTAGTGAAGTAAATAGGTAGGTAAACTTACTTTTGCACTGTTAATATGATTCATTTCTGAAGAAAATAAAATAAATGTTCGGCGATATAATACGTTTTTAAATTATATAGGTACAATGGAATATAAAATGTTATTAATACTTATTAATTGTTAATATATTACTATTCACAAGACATGATAAATCATAATTAATTCATAATAATATTGTAGAAACCATGTGTAAAAACTAAAAATGTCCGCGAACTATTGACCAGCGTCATGACTATGGTAACTGCACTACTGTTACTGAGCAGTGTGCAACTGTCTATAGTATAGGCAGTATAGCAGAGTGTCTGCTGCTATAATGTAATAATAATACCTACAAAGTAAACAAATACCAAGGACAACAATTTTTCATACAATTTGGGATTTTCCATTTGAGGACCTATAATATGATAAAAGCAACCATAAAGGTTCGCGTATAATATTCACGTCTATCGACAATTCTGATAATATTAATTTCATATGATAATGACTAATGACAAAATAATTGTGGCAATCAATTCGATCAAACATTTATAATTAATACTAGCTTATAATGTATGGAATAAATGTTATATATAAACTCGTACAGTCGTACCGGTCCCAAAATAGCAGGTAGATAATAAAAAAGGTTGAATCAGTGAAAATTCAAATTACGTACCTATAGTAAATCCAAGGAAACGTGTATGGTGTACGACATTGGCTATTTGTTATTGATTATTATTGTTTAATTGCTTACAAAATACAAAAGTACTAAATAATAATATATACAGGTAGGTACCAAAATATGAGTTGTAATACTTGCGTAGAATAAAAGTGAACTACTGCACATTATACTGCCTTACAGCGTGATTCACTAGGTATTTTAGCTCATCCACTTTTTTTCTTTTATACTTAATGCAGTTATTCAAACAGTTGATTATTTCAATCAGTTATATGACTTTTGGAATTTTTAAATATAGGTTTATTAGACTCTAATTACTAAGATCATATTTTCAAATTCTTGAGGGTTTTTAGTACAAAAAGTAGTGTACTTGTGTTGTAGTTGTGTACTTATGTGTAGTATACAGGGTGTTTCTGAAATAGATGAAGTAACTATAACTACTCTGTTCAACGAGAGAACGAACGGCGCAACGACCAAAACTGGTTCCCCCGCGCAACACCTTGCCATAGGAGAACCGATTTCGATAGAAATGTGACGCGGGGGGATGCGCAGAATCTGTGCGTTCTCTCGTTGAACAGCGAGTATAGAGTATAGACGTACTCAGTGTGATGGCCCAATGAAGATTTTTTTGAAATTTTTTTTCTATCTTCAAAATCTAGGTATATACCTATTATTAATAGAACATTATCTTAAATGAAAAAATAAATGGTCTAGTTGTATTTTTTGCAAAATTCTCATACGAATTGAGGTGTCACATCATTTTCGCGCTTTTTCACTCTCGAATCGCCTACTAAAAAAAAAATAGTATGGCACATCGATTTGTATGAGAACACTACAAGCTAACCAGTGGTGATATTTATTTGTTGACATTTAACATATACGATTAATTAACGTATTATTTTACATTGTCAACCAATAAAAATGATAAAATAATGACAAAATTAGGGTTAACAAAGTTTTAAATAATCTTATTTACTGACATACTGACATACATTGATTTGTGTGATTTAAATGTACAGGTCATACAATATGGTACCTTTTATCCGTGCTGTCTATTATAAAATAACTAATTTACCGTAATTTTTACATAAAGAATATTAGTTGATTTGATTATAGTTGAGTTCAATACTTGCTATTGAACAACACTTTAAAATTTAAATTTATTTTTAATATTTAAGTTTTTAATTTACATTTTGAACAATGGAGACATGGAGTACCTACGAGTACCTACACTAACATTGAATTGATTATTGAAGAAAGAATATGTTTATGCCAAAGAATTACCTAAATAATAGAGATAAACTTTTGATGAGAATTAATAATGTAGCTGATATCATTCGTCAAACACAAAATTTATTGGAAAAAACTTGGAATTCATTACATCTTTGGATCGAAAGCGCGTCGAAGTTAACGGGAGTCACATACTCACATAGTCACGTTGAACAACTGTATATAAAAATAGGTTTTCAAAATAAAGTGTATTTAATTATGATTATTTACAACAAATGAATGTCAGTAAATTTGATAATTTAAAACTTTGTTAACCCTAGTTTTGTCATTATTTTATAATTTTTATTGGTTGACAATGTAAAATAAGATGTCAATTAGTTGTGTATGTTAAATGTCAACAAATTGATATCACCGCTGTTTATTTTGTAGTGTTCTTATACAAATCGATGTGCCACACTATTTTTTTTTTTAGTCGGTGGTTCGAGAGTTAGAAAAAAGCGCGAAAATGATGTGACACCTCGATTCATATGAGAATTTGCAAAAATTCAACTTGACCGTTTATTTTTACATTTATAAGATAATGTTCTATAAATAATTTGTATAAACACAAATTTTGAAGATAGAAAATAAATGTCTCAAAAATCTTAATTTGCCCATTAGTCATTACACCGAGTACGCCTTTACTAGTTACCTCATCCATTTCAGAAACACCCTGTATAGTGTATACACACCAGTAACGGACTCCGTGTCCTAAAAACTTCTGTTTTTCAAATTACTAAGTTATAGGAGTTTAGGAGTATAGGAGTTATTCAAATTCTGATTTTATAAGTATACCCGAAGACCATATTTTCAAATTCTTGATCATTTTGTACCAGGAATGTCCTGTGGCGATACTTTTCCCTACTATCTCCCTTTTTTACTGTAAATTATTTTGCGGGTTATTACTGATTCTCTTGAAAATTTTGAAGTGTCTAAATCAAAATTCTTATAAGTTGTTTCCGATTTATTAAAATACCTATTCATATTAAGGATAATAATCCTTAAATATGGTGTTACAAAAATATAAACTATATGTAATATTATATGTAGGTAGGTAGTAGGTATTTGTTATACTTCAATCATTTTTACAAATTATTTATATTGGTAGATCATTAGTAATTAGTAATTATTAACATTTTCAGATCATCTAAGCCACCAAATCTACTTAACCTAGGGCATAAACATATAAATTATTCTTAGTACCTTGAGTCTTGACTCTAACTAGGTATCGTTACTATTTTAAATATTGTATCTGATCGAGTTTCAATTACAATTTTAATAACAACATAATATATTTCTGGATTATTTCAATAGGTATCAACCAATAATGGTGCTCAAATTATTATTCTATTAAATTCGGCAACGTGGAAAAAAAAATTTCGAGCGTTCTCAATCGTGTTACCAAAAATTCCGTTCTCAATCGTATTTTACCGCCTTTAAAGAGGTTTCCTATGAATAGCTTGTGTAGAAGACCAAGTTTTATACGATCCTATTAACTATACAGCCATACAGGTTTTATAAAGAATTTGCTTGTTCAATTTGCCTGCAGAAGATAATTTCAAAGAAATTAAAATTTTTTTTTTTGTAACGAGAAAGTAATGAGTTACTTTTCTTTCTGAAAAGTAAAGTAATTTCATTACAATTTTATTTGAGTAACGAGTAAAGTAACTTAATCACATTTATCTCTTAGTAACGAGTAAAGTAACTTCATTACTTTTTAAAAGTAACTTACCCAACACTGCCCGTGGGCTCGGGAAAGAAAACAAACAGTATCCTCTTCAGTAGGAAGACTATAACGTGTAGTAAGACTATAATGTTTTACGTGTTACTTATATTTACTGCAGTGGCCACGTGGCCCGTGGGCGATCCTCGACTGTGGGCTGATAACTTATAAATATTTCATTATTAGCCCAATATTGGGCAGAATTTTCTGTTTCCCCGGGGCCAATTTTTATTCCCAGCCGCCCCTGCTTATATAGTAAGTTATATTCAATACTATTATAATACTAATTACTATCAAAGGTATATTAATTATATCTTAATATTTCCTAATGAACTCGAAAATTTGTCATTTTTGTCGGAGTATTAACTATTATTTATTTATTTATGATTATGAGTTATGACAATGTTCATGGTTATGACGAAGAAACATATATTGATATATTATCATTTATCAGTGTTGGTTAAATTAGATATCATTTTTATCACGTTACTTTACATTTTCATTTAAAATATAAGAAGTTACAAATAACATTACTTTTAAAAAAATAATAAAATTAACTAGATAGTAGATAGAAATGTCGTGGGTATGTATTAAATCATTTATCATGGTAATATGGTATGCACTAGAGAGCCTAAATAATAAAGGCTCTCTAGTAGGTATATCCATAGACCTATAAACTAATGGACTGCGCCGCCCTCAACACCCAGCCATCACTGAGTGGCGTCAATATAGAGTGAGTGAGAAAGAACATATTGGGGGAATCTTGGTGGAATCATATATAAGAGAAAGAGAGAAGAAACATAATGGGGGAAATCATAGACGTATGAAACTAATACTGTATATCGTACCATTGACCTCTCTCTAAGCACTGTCCATATAGGTCTATGGGTATAAGCGTGCGCACAGGGGGGGCCGGGTGGGCCGTGGCCCATCCTGCGATACGGACCGAAATTTGTATACATAGTAATTCATAATCTAAACATCACGATTTTTGATTTTTTAAATCATACAACATTAAATAGGTAGGTGAAAAATAACATTGATACTCAATGATAATAAATAATAATAAATTAAATGTCTTTAAAAATAAAATTTATAACATATTATTGTTCTATGATATTAGGTACCATTACAGATTGCGAAATTGTATTTATTTAAAATTTAAAACTGTGTTGACAATTAAAATATTTCTTATTTAATTTTTAAAAATTAATTGTATCTGTTTTTATCATATGAATGATTTATGCTTTAAATAGTGGGTGATTATGAGTAGGTAAATTAAAGTATGTAACATTTTAATTGTTTCTTCCATCAGAGTTCAGGTTTCTTAATCTTTATTGACTTATCCCACCCTGTCACAAATGTCTGCTCACGCCTATGAGTACCTCTATTTGCACTATAAGCAAGGTATGATACACATATATAGAGTAGGACTGGCCCAGTGGTCTACTGTCCTACAGTGCAGGCAGCTGTCCTTGGCTGGGTTTTGGCCAGTCCATAATATGATTATATATGATAAATTTTTTATCATTAAATATATTAAATAGTTAAATGGTTCCAATTTCTATAATGAATAAATCATAAATAACTCTCTTTAATTTGCCATTATATTATTTGGGGGACAAAAAATATTTTGGTGGCTAAGCCTGCTCTAACTCTCAACTAATTACGCCTATAGTCAGGATAGGGTTGTTGTTATATAATATATGATATATCTGAGATAATGGGCCGGACCCTACCCAGTCCGGCCCTGCACGTATATGTTGATACCATAGATATATACAAGGGTCAAGGTTAGGTTAAGGTTTGGTTCAAGGTAGATTTATAAATCCACCTTGGTTAAGTTATAATATATACCGCCATGTTGCATCTATATTCTATGGTTGATAGTTAATACTCGTCATTGGTATATGTACACAGAATATATACAAATATACAATATTTACTGTTCTATGATATATTGATATTACGTATGTGGTTAATTTTTAAATTTTATATTATTCCCGCTTTTTTATACCATGGAAGTATAGATAACCATTTTATACCATATACCATACCTACAATTTAAAGTGACGCTTTGGAGCAGCAGGCTATAGTATGACGGTGGTGAACAACAAATATTATTCAAAGCGTAGATTGTAGAATGTTGTGAATTGTGATTTGTAACCATTTAACCATTAGCTGTTCTGTTTCGGTGTTGGTGTTTTTCGTCCGATTCTTGTTTTCGTTTCTACTAGCTTTGTAAGTATGATTTTACAGTCTGTATTTTTGTACTTGGGAGGATAAATTTACGTCATAACTAGTTATTTAGCTGTATTTATTGTGTTTGACGTTTGTTCGTTTTGAGTACTTGGCCAGTATTTTGGTACGCCATTTGTAAATAATTTGGGTATTATGTTAAACCATTTCGTTTGATACTTTCGTTATATGTTAGATTAAGTTCATAAAATTAATTTATCTGGTACAAGCTTATTAGTTATTACTTCCATTCGAATCAAATAGTTGTTATAATTTTTATAATTTTTGTTTAAATTTAATGTTTCACTAGTTGTAGACACATATTTTTACTTAATATTTTATAATTAATAATTTTTAAATACGATACAATATATAACTTATATACTAGTAATAATTATACTCATGTACACATAATAACTCCTGGGCCTCCACACGAGAATACTCAGTGAGGCCCAGTATTATTATCTTGAGAGATAAATTAATAATAATAATAATAATAATATAAATATTAATGTATCTATTGATTTTCATTAGGTAAATCATTTTAGTAAACATGCGATTGGGCGATAGAAACCGTGACAGGAGTCGCAGTCCACTAAGGTCTCGAAAAAGTGGATGTAAAAAAGTTTTTGTCTCGAACATACCATATGAATTCAAATGGAAGGAGCTAAAAGAGTTGTTCAAAAAAGAAGGTATCTATTTTACAATAAAATTATACAAACATCAGGTTAATTGTTTTAATAATATTATAAAATACAATTATAATATTATAAATAATTTCTGGTCAAATTTGCTTATGCTATTTGGGCCTCTAAAACAAGATTGGTTTCATCTTCAGACCGACCTTTTTCTGATAAACAAGGATATTATATATTTTAATAAGAAGGGCTCTTTTTCATAACCTGTTTATTTATTTTTTATTATTTTGTTTTAGTTGGCGACGTGTCTTTTGTAGTTGTATACTCAGATGAAAAAGACAAATCTAGAGGCTGTGGTACAGTTGAGTTTGACAGAGTAGATTCAGCCCAAAAGGCGATTGATAAGATGCACCGTTTTGATATAAATGGAAGAAAATTAGTAGTTAAAGAGGTATATAATATTAGATCAAATTATATTATGATATTTAATTAATTTTGCGTTTTAATTTGTTATAGGATGATATTGATAGAGATAAGACTGGACGTCCATTACCAAATGGACCACGTAGTAGCGGTGGCGGTGGTGGTGGAGGCGGCGGCGGTGTTGGTGGCGGCGGCGGTGGTGGTGGTGGGAATATCCCAACCAGTATCAGGAGTGCTAGTAGAATGCCAGTATCAGATGATTTCCAATGGGACAATACATATGGACTCTCACCTCAATTTCTAGAATCACTACATATCCGTGGGCCACTTATCAATCGTATTTTTGTTGCTAATGTAATTTAAAAAAATCTTCATAGTATTTTTAGTTCTTTAATTTGATGTTCTAATATTTTTTTTAGCTCGACTACAAAGTTGATGAAAAAAAATTGAAAGAGGTATTCAAACTTGCTGGACGAGTATTAGAAGTTGAAATATTTTCAGATAAAGAAGGAAAAAGTAAAGGATATGGAGTAGTTGAATATAATCACCCAGTGGAAGCTGTTCAAGCTATTTGTATCCTTTGATAATTTGTCTGTTTAAACTTTCTAAATTTATTGAGTATTTATGTTTCAATGTTTCTTAACAATTACCAATAGCTATGTTCAACAATCAATTTTTATTTGAACGTCCAATGTCTATACGTCTTGATCGTACAGATAAAGACCCATTAGCAAGACTTCCTGAAGGGTTGAAATCAATAGGAATGGGTTTAGGTGCAGGCGGAGCACCATTGCACGATGTTGAAAGTATGTTATGATAAGATTTAAATTGTAGGAAATTATTAATTTCTGTAAAAAAATATTCCTAGAATATAAATTAAATTTTTCTTCAAATTTAATAATTTATTGGTAGTGGGTTATATAAATAATAATAGTTATAAACTAATATGATAGTTATATCAATCAAAATGTGAACAATACAAGTTTTTTTTTGGTGGACAGATAGTTAAGTTGTTATACTGGGTGATTCTTTTATCAAACAACACTCATTATTTCAAAAAGTGTAAATTTTTTTGAAGATATTTTTTACATAGTTTCAAGTCGCTTATAAAACAACGTTTTTATTAAAAAATTATATTTTTAATTATTTTTTATCCTTATAATTTTTTAAGTTTTTTACTTTTTTGAATGACAACATAGGGTTTTAATTTTATATTCTAAAGTAGAATATTTTTCTTAGTATTTTGATACATGAAAATTGAATTTGGGGCGAGTAGTTTATGAGTTATAAGTATTTAAAGTTTAGACGAGCGGTGAAATGGACAAACATTTCGCGGGGTAACCCCGAACCACTCCACTCCGCTCGTCTAAACTTTAAATACTTATAACTCATAAACTACTCAACCCAAATTCGATTTTCATGTATCAAAATACTAAGAAAAATATTCTGCTTTGGAATATAAAATTAAAACCCTATGTTGTTATTCAAAAAAGTAAAAAACTTAAAAAATTATAAGGATAAAAAATATTTAAAAATATAATTTTTTAATAAAAACGTTGTTTTATAAGCGACTTGAAACTATGTAAAAAAATATTTTCAAAAAAATTTACACTTTTTGAAATAATGAGTGTTGTTTGATAAAAGAATCACCCAGTATATATTTTAAATATGCAGTAGATTAAGATAATTTATACAATTTTTATATTATCACTTAAAATATAAATCAATTTCCACACTTTTTTTATTTTACATATTTTATACATTACTTTTTTTTAATGTTCCTTGTCCCATTTACTTTTTTGCCCTTAAACATAGATGGTATATTTCTAGTTAAAATTAATAAAACAATTATGATGGGAAAAGTTCTACTTATTTTGTTTTTGGGAAAGAAAGTTCAATATCATTAAGACCTAACTGATTGTTTGATAATTTGTTATGCTTAAAATAATACTAAGTTTGTTTTCAACCTTGAATTTATACATAAATTAAAATATATATTTGAAATTTTATCTTTATTAATGTTACCCTTGTAATAACTATTTATTTAATGGGTAGCAACTTAAAAATATTTATGATTAGACAAATGAAAAAACTAAGTAAAAAAAATGTGTGATAGGACAACATTAATTACCTAAAATTCTATTATTATTTGGTTCAAAGTATAATTTTGACAAACTTCAAACTAATTTTTATAATTTAATCAATTATTTGCTTATTTTTTATAGGAAATCTACCTTCAAATAATACTTCATCTAATCAATCGCAGTCATTATCTACGCCTGTTAATACATCTGCTTTGGCTGTATTAAGTGGATTAAGTGCTGATAGATTGGGCATTGAGACCCAGAATAGACGTTCTCGTAAGTGATTTAGAAAAATTTTTAATTTATAGATCTCAAATGTACTTTGGTTTTATTAAGTTGGTGGAGTTAACGGACTAGGAAACTTAAGTGCTAGTGATTTAGGCATTGGAACAAGCCTAGGAGCTGCTTTTGGATCTGGTATGAATACTAGTGGAGCTGGATCGATGAATAGTTCTTCACTACATCAAAGTAATTTATTATAATTATATATATATTTTTTTTTATTAATATTTCAAAATGTATGGTAATTACAAGTCTTACTATTTAAAGCATTTATACTTTATTAATATTGGTAAATGTATGGTTGACTCGGTTAAGGCTACTCGGCTCTGATATAATCTAAGGGCTATTTATCGCAAACATAATAATTTTTGTTGTATGTAATAGAAATATCCATCAAAATTGTTGAGTTTAATGAGTTTTTCATTACCCAAACTATACCTAGGTTTCAGTAGTAATGTTAGAAAAATGAAAATAATACAATTTATTGTATTATGTATAATTTTTATATTTTTTTGTTTTTAGTTATTATAGTTAATTATTTTAAAATATCTACTCAGACGTTTTTGTATTTTATTGATTTGTGTGGGTTAATTATATTATATAACATAGCATTGCTATATATTAATTTATATTGATGTGTATAATCGGGTTAATATATTTCAGACTCACTAGGTGGTCGTGATTACGATTCTTTATCACTCGGTGTACGAAATTCAAACAGTGGTGGTGGCGCCTTTGGTGCAGACTTTAGATCCGGTTTGGGTAATTATATTTGTAATTATATTTATACTTTGAATTTTATTATAAGTTTTAATCAAATCAGTTTTCTTAAGAAAAACTGATCCTCAACATTCCATCATTAATTAATCTTTAAACTACTTTATTATATTTAGGTGGAGGTGATATGCATATGGGTATGGGCCCGAAAAAATCTGACACAATTATGGTAAAAAATTTACCATCAAATACAACATGGCAAAGCTTAAAGGATTACTTCCGTGACTGTGGAGACATTAAGTTTTCCGAGGTTGGAAGTAAGGGATTTGGAATTATTAGATTTGCATCTGAATGGGATGCTGAAAGGGCAATAAGTATCCTTTTTATTTGAAATTAATTTTTTATGACTGGATGAAAATATTAAGATATTTTAGTTTTTGGTTTACAGTTTCTATAAAGTTCTGTAATGTTTTTGTAAAGGAATAATAAAATATTTTTTCTGAGGCGGGTCGAACTTAAACATATTGTGTTAAACCAATTTATGTTATTATTATGTCGAACCAAACTTAAATTATCCAACCAAACTCGAACCATATCGATTTTGTTGGTCATTTAGTTTTTAAAGCATACATAATTCAATAACACAAGTAATAATCGATATCGTAAGGTTTTATTAAAATTTTAAATAACAATAATGTAATTGGAATGAACATTCAACCCTGGAAGTTAAAAATAAGAAACAAGCATAAATCGGTGTTTTTTTCTAGTCAATAAAATAGATAATAGTCAAAATACAAATTTAAAAATAAACACTAAAAATAATTCTTGTTTAACCTGTTGAAATTTTTTTGTGGTGCTTTTATATTTTATTGTAATTCAAACTATTTCGGAGTTCTGATTAATTAAAGAATTTCTAACTTTTTTTTTAGTTTGGTTTGATTCATATTGTTTAAAATTAGCATTGATTTTAAATCTTATAGGAATTACATATTATTCATATCAATCTTTATTATATATGTAGCATACATTTCTGATTTGTAAAATAGGGAGATATTACAAAATTACATTTGTTTAATGTAAAAAAGAAAATTAAGTGTTATACTAATAAATTAGATACAGGGTAATTTTTTTACCATTAAACAATCATTATTTATAGAAGTGTACATATTTTTGAAAGTAATTTTACTTAGTTTCAAGTTGTTAACAAAAAAAAAAAAAAAAATGTCTTTATTCTTTTGACTGATAATACAGAGTTTTAATTTAATATCCCAAAGCAGAATATTTGTCTAAATATTTTGAAACATTAAAATCAAATATAGTGCCAGGTATTTAAATTTTAGATGAGCAGAGTAGTGGACAAACACTTTGTTGGGTAACCCTGTACCACTCCACTCCGCTCATACTTATATAACTCATAAACTTTTTCATTTTTATGTTTCGAAATACTTACAAAAATAATGTGCTTCGGAATATGAAATTAAAACTATGTTATCATGCAAAAAAGTGAAAAACTTAAAAAAAATATAAGAATAAGAAATATTTAAAAATATAATTTTTTAATAAAAACGTTGTTTTGTAAACGACTTGAAACTAAATAAAATAATATTTTCAAAAAAATTTACACTTCTTGAAATAATGAGTGTTCAATAATAAAATAATAACCCTGCATAAAAATATAATTGATGCTTGTTTACTTTAAGAATAATGAATATTACGTTTTTCCTTAACTATAGAATTTTTAGCTTTAAAAAATATGTCAAGATTTGATGGTCATCTTATTGAAGTAGTATATTTCTAACTACAAGTGTAAGTAACCATTTTTTTAACTCAAAAATAATACATAATTTTAATAAATATTCTAGTGTAATAATTTATGTATGTAGACCAGTTTAATTCAATATTTATTGTAACATAATTATTGTCTTTTATTGGCAGTTACTGATTGAAGGCTTAAAATATTTTTCCAATAGGCTAATGACTTTATGTGTTTGTGTTTTAGACTTCAGTACTGTTTAAAAATAACTTTTTGGAGATAATAAGACATTTTATTCTTGGTCTATTTTTATATTTTTGATTTTATTATGTCTGTCAATATCTTATTTTTCCTATTTCAAGAATTGAGAATAAAATTGAATTAGTTTGTAAAATTGTCTTTTTTTTTATAGTTTGTATTCTTAGTGGTGTGTGAGAATAAATTACAAGATCAGATTTATGAAATTTTAATTGGTTTGTTATTTTTATATTTTGAATTTGTTTTCCTCAACCTGTTTGTTTTACACCTAATTTACATGTGTCACTTCGCATTGCATATTTATTTATTTTATACATTTCATGGTATTTGATGTATAAGATTCTACACTCGAAATTAGAAAAATGTAGTTTGGGTTCAAAATCTATAATTTAAAATATCGTTGAATGCAGCTATATAATTTTGTTTTAATATTACATATTAAAACATAACATTATATTTTTTGCTGATTTAAGAGAATAAAAGTTTAGTTTGATTATTGGAAGTTTCATAATATATCAACTCTTAATGAATTTTCATAGAACATTTAGGAATCATTTTTAATCATGTAAAATCGAAATTCATATTAAATTCATAAACCGAATGAGCTGAAGTATATGATATGTTTTATATTTTGATAATGTAATAAAAAAATTTAAGTATGCAGAATACATCACAATTCCAATAAATGTGGTTATGGCAGCCGCCTATTAAATTATATTATGTATATAATGTTAACAAATTTAAACTATAAAATAATAAAATAGAGCATACCTCTATTGCAGCAGTTCTTATAAACCGTTTAAAATTCCATATTTATGAAACAAATTTTAAAGTAAGGTATTATATAGTAGGATTTCTAATTTGCAACAGCTCACAAAGTAATAGTGTTTACTAACATTTTGATTATGGTATTCTTGAAAAATGCTGATCAGGAATAGTTAAAAATTCAGGATATGAAAGCTAGTCCATAAGTTTTTTAAAAAAAATATCTTAAATTTTGTTCTGTTAATGTAAAAGTATTATATGTGATTATATTTGTTTTGCCGTATTACCATAATCTATTAATCTATTATTGGAGGATTGTCTTGTGTTTTGTAACAAATGAGTTTATCCTCAATCTTTTAAAAAATATATATAATATATTGATATGCATACATATTTATATATTTTTCATATACTTTTAGGTATTTTTCTTGTTTTGTATTTGGAACAACCTTGGTTATTGAAGTGACCCTATTTTCCCGTCATTGTAAAAATAGTAATTTATTATTTATGATCACATATCCAATACTTCATACTATTTAATATTTTTTTTAGAAATAAGGTGTGTTTGAACTCTGAAGAATGGAGTTTTTTGAATAGAAGTGAATAGTTCATTTCATTTTTATTCATCCTTTTAATATAAATTTATTATTCTATTATAATATAAAACCATTATTGACAGAAACATAAATGTATATTTTATTTATTGTTTGTATTGTTTAAAAAAAAAATTGAAATCTATGTATAAAGTAAACTTATCTTTCTATTCCTTTATCGGTAGAATTTAAATGAATTCAAGAGTTTCACCTTTGATTAGTCAATGCGGTTGTATTAATTTAAATGTATTAACAATGCGGTTGTTATGGTTGATTCTGAGTGATCTACATGCTCGATCATTGCATTTAAATTTTCTAATAGAGTTCAAGTACTTTTTTATATTAGGCCTTCTTTCGCTGTCCCCTAGTTGTATTTTATTGTTTTGGAGTTTGAAACAAGTAAGTTATTATATTATTATTTTTTTTTTGTCTCACGGTTCATTTACGTTTATATGTGTATAAATAAGTTTATTTTCAGAGCAATTTTATTGAAGACTTATTGACAACAATTAAAGCCATTTTGACAACTCTCAGTTTGATGTTGTATTTTTTGTCTTGTGCTTACAACAGACATAACATACGGTTATGTTATGTAAAATGTTTGGACGTCTTGTCCTACAACAAAAATACATGTCTAAAAATGTCGTCTGTATTTATTATAAGTGGTATGCATTTGTTTTGGTTGGTTGTGTTTTTTGTCAACTCAATGACAACCCAAGAGCCTGCCATCAATCTGGTGCTTCATGCTCAAGATTTTGTCTGTTTCATGTTTGAAATGCAATTTTACGTGATCTTATTGCTGTTAAAATCATCACTTGAAATGGTCACTCATAGGATATCCAACTTTTTTCATATGATCAAGGTAGAACGATATTAATCAAAGATAATTATTTGTTAGTTGCACATCTTTTGTTAATCATTGAATTATGCTGAGAAGTAATCCACTTGATTAAAATCAGTTGTATGAAAATTGTTTTTCAACTTTGTTATCAGTTTATGATTTTTATTAGAAATAATAAAGGAGCCTGAAATTTCCCACAAATCTAAAAACTGAACTCTGAACGTGGCTCCTTCAGTATTTGTGATACTAATATTAATTATAAGTAAATATTGTTTTTACTTATATTGTTTTTACAAATATATTATATACCACTTAAGGTACGGTCTCCAAGGCGCGACTGATGTTTGTGATCGGTCGCCACGTCGAATGTGGTCTACAAAACGCGACGCGACATGTTGCGACAATGGAATTATTGTTTTTGGCTAGTCAACAGTCAAATTGTCATAATAATATATCATAATATATAATATATCATTTTATTTACTAGATTTTCCAATTTTTGTAGCTATATCTTTCTATATTTTATCTTTTGTGATAATATTTCTGTACTCTTCTAGTTTCATATTATATAATATTGGGTTGATTAGTACTTCATTTACTAAAATTTCGTTTTCAGACGGCAAAAAGACTAATTTCAACATGGTGTCGTCTTGATGTGTCACTGTCTACTGCTCCATGAGTAGTATTGTCGTCGGCCGCGGCGACCAAATATTGACACGTAGCGACCTGTCGCGTCTTGCTGACCAGATAATACAAATTTCTGTAAAAACAGATATTGACGACATGTCACGCCTTGGAGACCGTACCTTAACTAGGATCATTTATAGAATTGATACTTAAATCTGTTTTACCATGGTCTATTTTTCCCTTAAATCATGTTTTAAACATTCCTATTAAGTTATTGACAAAAACTATGAAATCATAATTTATGTGTTATAACACTGAATATACATTATTAGAATATTATTTTTATTTGTTTACACACAGGAAAACAAAATTGATACAAAACTTATTTTGCCAGATTACTTTGCGAATTGTTTAGAAGATACTAGATTGTTACATATGGAGATATTTGATATAATGGTTAATGTTAATAGAATATATGGGCTTAATACATTAACCCTAATTATTCAATCAAGAATTTTGTTGGCCATAAACTTGTATTCATATATAACGAGTTTTTCATTCATTGAACTTGTAGAGAGTATGGCAACATTTCAAAGAGTTGCATTGTTATGTTATTGCTGTGAACTGATCAAACGAAATGTTAGTTCTAAATAACTGTTTCGATCAAATTGTATATAAGACTAAATAGTTTTCAGGAAAATATTATTAAAAGTATGGTTAATGAAATGGATACAAATTTATTGCCAGGAGAAAATTATAAGCAACAGGCGAGTGTGAATTTTTTTACTTTATGGAATATTTTTTATTGATTATTCATTTAATTTTTCTTTAGAGACTTTTATTTAATCACCAAGTACAAAAATTGAAGTTTGATTTGGATGCTTTAGAAATGTTTCCAATAAATTTAGAAACACTTTTATCTGTAAGTCAAATGAATTAAACTAAAATGTACTTTGGTTATGGTATCTAGTGTGTTCACAATATAAGTCCCTAAATATTTTAGCTGGATGACCTTGGGCCTCAGAACGAAAAGGGGTTTTGGGAGGTTAAAGAGAGTACCAAACTACAAGTTTTAAGAAAATGTCAATATTTTAACTCTTTTAATCCTCTATATAGATGCGTAATACAAGTTACTTTTTTGTAAAGGTTAAAGCCAACATTTTCTATAGATTCAGATGGGTTATTTTTTTTTGAACAATTTTTGTATCCTATTGCAGAAATTAATGAAATTAGAGTAAGTTGAAATTTACAAATAATAAAGCAGTATCTGGAATAAAAAAAACCTCATAGGTATATTATGCTGTAGGAAGCCCTGGATAATATTACCTATTTTTATTTCTATTATGGTTTTCAAAAATGTTAATAATATTATATACAATTACTTAAATATATGACGTAATTAATAAAAACAATGTTTAGTGTACTTAGTACTTACCTATTAAATAATATTATATAAAAGTACAAAAATGATAATAACCATAACAAACTTATAAATCGCAACCATACATAATGTTAAAACAGGTTTACATCATTTTGATACTTAGAACATAGAAAAGTTGGAAATTTAGAGCATAATCATTGACTGTCTAGACTCTAGAGGTTGTTGGTAAGGGACTTTTTATTACAGTATTTTAAAATCTGTTCTTATTTTCATAAATTCAATAAAGGAGGGTATTTAGGTATAAATGTTTAGGTTTATTAATTAACACTTTGTTTTCGTAATTTATCCTAGTTTCATAAAAACTATAACATTGAAATCTATATAGATTTGCTTATTAATAAACATTAGTGTTAATTTACATATTTTCTGTGTACAAATATACACAAAAATAGTTTTATAAAAAGCATTTGAATCTGTAAGAAAATAATTGTGGTAAAGAAGTCCAAAGGAATACCGGTATATATTATATAATATATATTTTTTTTTTTTTTATTAAAAGAATAATTACAATCTATACAAACATATGTACAATAGGTAATTTTTTTGATTGACAATAGCGTTGAATTACCGGGGGGGAGGTACTCAGTAGTACCACCCGACTAAAATATATAATATTTAAAAACGAAGAATCAAACATTTTAATCACCTGTAAGTCAGTACTAGTTTATAGTTATACTAGTAATACTTAGTTATAATAAAAAAAATGAATTAATTATTCATACAAAAATAAGAAACATAATATATTATATAATAATAATTTCTATCGAAGTCTAAAGTTTGATATTGCCAATATTGGTACATTAATACTAATTGGAGCATTGTAGTATACTAAATGGTGCTTCAAAAATCGTATTTTTGCTTATATATACCTAATTATATGTCCCGTAATCTTTTACCTTGGACTTTGGACATTATTAATATTTTTTTTTTATACCTCAGGTTTTTGGTAGTCTACGTAGAAAAAGATTGTGGTTCCTATTTAAAAAATAGTTACTTGTATTGCGCAAGCTAGTTACTGAAAGGATTAAAATGTGTACTTACGCATAGGTTCTTTAATACTCTCTTTAACATCTGATAAGTGATGACCTCATTTCCAGTTTGTGAACACACTGTTTTCAATTTGTTAATTATGTGGCAAGTCAGTAGCCCCAATTTAAAATATGTCGCAGATTTAGTAGTGCAGTTTTTTTTTTTTTTTTTAAAGTTTATTTTTACTTATCTTTTCAAAAAGACAGTAAATGTACTGTAAAATTGAACGGTTCTCACACTGGTAACTAATGGTTATCTTCTAGGTAATAAAAAACACACTTTACTGTTGAAATTGTATATAATATATTTATTTTTTTTTATTAATTGTTCAATATGTTCGTCATGAATACTATGTACAAATTAATTTTTTAGGCCCATGATCTTTGTAACGAAATTAGAGCTATAATAAAAAATATGCGAAATATTCCAAGTGATAGGTTAATTTTGTTACAAAGATCATGGACCTATAAAAATGGTACATTTGAACAATATTATAAAAAAAAAAACAAATATTAAATTAAATTAAATCAAGTATATAGTGTGTTCTGTATTGCCTATTGGATTAGCATTAGTTATCTATGAAATAGCGTGAAAACCATATAATATTATTATTTGGCAATTGATCAAAATTCAACCAATTTTACAAACTGTTTTTTCTCTATATTATAAATAAACAACTTTACAAAATGGCTATTTTCAAATTTTTACCATGGTAAAAAGGAACTATTGGTCATAATATATTAAATTAAAAAAAAAATGCCCTGTAATATCTGCATTATATTTTGAACTAAAGCTACTATCTTTCCAATTAATTAACATACTGTATATGGTATTTAAATATATAATGTATATGTCATGACATGTATATTATCACACAATATTTTGATGTATAAATTTATTTTTTTCAGATATTAATAACTACTGCCAGTTACCTTCTTCTATTCAGCCAATTAAATTTAACTTTATAGAGCTAATAAGTTTTAATTTGCATCATTTTATATTAAATTACTTTATATAATTACTGATCTTAACTATGAACAACCGAGTAGTTTGTCTTATATAAGTATTCCATACATACAGTTTAATATGTAAAATTAAGTTGTTAATAATTGATGATTCATCAAATAAATTAGGAAATTGAATTATGGTTTGCTGCCAAGATGGGTTTTGCTGAACTAAGTCATGTGAAGTCTAGTCCTTCATTGCTTCATAACTAATTAAGTATTCTATTAGAAGGACATGAACGATAAAAATATCAACTAAAATGTTGGATCAAATAAAAGGAATAATAAACATTTTTTTTTTTAGAGATTATTTTTTTATTTAGCTGTTTTATGAATATTTACAATCTATACATAGTGAAATAGTACAAATGTACAATATATTAATTTTTAAATACAATTAGAATGTGAATTTAAATTACTTACACAGGTTACCCGGAGAGTACAAAATAAAATAATAATTTCCAATTGGCAATGTTGATGTAACTGTAAGCTAAAAATTATAAAATCGGAAAAAAGTGTTACGATTATACTACATATATTGGTTATTACCTTTAATATTAAGTAAATTATGAAAATACATTTAATTGGTTTGATGTAAAGAATCATTCAAAAGTCTAATTTTAACTTGTGTAATAAAATAAATAGAATATAATACAATATACAACAAACTGAATACAATTAAATATATTATAGGATTTTCCATAGTAGTGTATACATTATTATGAAATAAATTATTAATTGTTTATTACCCAAGTACAAAAAAATCATAATCAATTATACAGATGTATCTATAACTGAACTATTTAATATAATTAAAATTGATTTGTCAAATTTAATGTTTAAAATTTAGTTTTGATCTGCTAATTAAATACCAGTTATTTATTATTGACTAGAATAAAACCATAAGAAACTTTTTTGATACCTTCCATAATAGGATCACTAAAATAAAAATGCCAATAACAAATATTAACTTGATTAACAAAATTTCTGTAGGAACTTTGACTTCTTTTACTAATTTATTATTCAATAAATACACCATTTTACTTTCTTTTAATAATCTAAGTTTTGTTTCGTCATCTAGCTTTTCCGCCAAAGCATTCATTTCATTCCGTAAATGATTCTTTGCCTCTCTTACATTAATATCAAAGTAAAATGCTTCAGATCCTTTTCCATCTGAGAAAGCCATTCTTTGTTTAGCCATCAATATTTGACCACCAGATAAAATGCCCATATACATATGATATATAAATGGTGACAACAGTACATGATTCTCATTTTCTAAACTTAATAAGTAGTTTGAGTATTCAGCCATGGCCTTAGTTGTTCCGGAAGGCCATTTTTCTCCTAAGTAATGTCGTAAGCTGCTTTCAAATGGTTGAGTACGGAACAATCCATTAATTTGGCCAAATTTATGTAAGTTATAATTTTCTTCTTTTTTCATTGCAATCTCTAGATACTGGTAAACAACATAAAATCTTCGTAATCCTTCTACCCATACTTTGCTATCAGTCATTCCTGAAATGTATAATCATTATCTGTAATTATTTCTCAAGGAGATTTTGTCTATATTTCTAGAAATTATTTTGGGTAAATAAAATCTTGAGATTATATAAGATAAGCCAATAACATTAATATTAGTTATTAGAAACATTTCTCATTTTAAACTGAAATAATAGAATTCATTTCAGATTAATCAATTGTTATTAGTCTATTTCTATATTTTACGCACAATAAAATTGAATCTTTAAAACCAATAGCTTTTAATATTATCTCACTTAGGCTGGTTCTTACATTATACGGTAAAGTGTTGGTTAGCGTTAACCGACACTTTACCGGCTGAATTCTGCCAGTAATAAAATCTGTTATCATTCAGTTACCTTAACCGACACTTGACCGGGCATTGTAAGAACAGTCCTTACAAATTTAATGATAGGTACTTAGCACCCTTATATTAAAATGAATAGCACAGCAATTAAATTACCATATTCTATGGGTTAAATGTTTTCTTGGCAGTTAATGTGTAAAAGTTTAGAAGTGTGGAATAAAATGGCAAGTTGCATTAATAGTTGTAGTAGTCTACTATTCCTGATAATTGTTTAAACATTCATAAAAAAACCTCTTACTATTTTTCCCATATAGTATTTGTGGTCAACCTACATCATCCACTTAAAAATTGATCCTATCAAAAGCGTAAATATAGTTGTAATTCATTAATAACTAGAGTGCTTTCAAACGATTGATAGGATTAGAAACCTTAAAGTAATGACTAATGTTGGGTGGGTGATTCACATAAGAGCAACAAAATTAAAACCAAACTCCGTTTGTATTTATTAATTCCATTTAGATTGTCCTAATTGTTTAAGTATAATATTGGACATGGCATTATAAGTAATATTTTAATTCTGAATTGGTTAAATGTACCTATTTATTTCTCGAATAATGAAAAGAAATCCTTATTAAAACATAATGTAATTGCACCTATATATTTGAATTAAGAATATGACAATTTAAAACAAAATATAGTTAAACAAATTTAAAATAAATGTATTACCAATGGTCATTTTTGCATTAATTAAGGCATCACTAATTCGATGTTCTTTCCTTGTGGCTTTTCTCATTCGTTCGGTAAACTTGATTTCTTCAGCTGCTGAAGATGGATTTTTATTTTTGTCATTATTTTCCACTTCAGTTAACATAATTATCAAATTGCCTATTTTATTAAATAGATACGGTTTAGTTTAAACAGTAATGCTGGATTTGAATTGAAAACAATTAATGATACATAACAGAATAAATATTATTTAATACTATACATTTTTAGTAGAACTTAAAATTGTTCAGATAAGTTAAGTGACACAGAAATACACTACACATAATAGTTCCGACTTCTATGATAAAATTAATTCATTATAATTTATAATCATTGAATCAATTATAATGTGTTCATGCATTGAATGCTATTCACAGATAAAGATAATAAACTAGATTGCTAACTCTTATCATAGAATCGAAACTCAATCAGCTGATTCGGTTTACGTCATAGACCTTATACCTTATGGTTATAACTTATAACTGTTATAAGAAAATAATGGTCTAAATTTTTGATTCTGAGGCTCTGAGCGGAGCGATGCATGTATTGATTTTACAATGATTATAATATTTTGTTTTTGTAATTTTTAAAATTTTTTTTTGTGTTTGTGTACACGATAAGTAGTTGAAATAATGCTTCTATTTGCAAATTCAGTATCTTGTCCGATGAGAAAGTGAATCTAGTTGGTGTATTAGGGAGGTCAAAATTTTAAATTCCCAGTAATTTTCAAAAGAGCCGAGAAAAAAAAATTAAGGAAAACAGTGGATTTCGACAAAATCGATTTTGGTTTTTGGTGTACCTCTAAAACAAATGACCGTAAATACATGAAATTCTCACTGGTTGTTTATATTAGCATTTTCTTTACACTATAACTTTTTCAAAATATTTTGATTTGTTTTGAACTGCTTACGGACAATATCTGTTTCCAATTTTTTTCTATAATTGTCAATAAAATGTTATTTCTTGGGTAAAACAGCTTGACAATTTAATACAAGGATCCTAATATATTGTTACAAATTACAATGATATTTGCAAGACATTAAAAGCACAAGTATTGCTTAAAATTAATTTGCCTTCCCTTCATTTGCAGCTTTTTAATTCAGCAAACCTTGAACCATTTTTCAAAATTGGTAAGGTTTGTTTATTTTTTGCAGTACTTATATTTAGATGCCGTAAGTGTGGGTTGGGATTAAGATAAGAGTTATTTTTTCTTTGCTTTTTGCTTTTTCGGTTCCAGCTTTCAACTGCTCTACTTTCCTCAGTCGTAAAATTAACAGGTGGTATTTTAATAAACTGCAACGATTGTATTTGAAGTTTATCATCAGATTCTAGCTATAATTCTACATTATTATTATCATTAATAATTGGCCTTTGTAAAACATATAAGGCATCATAAGGAGGAGATTTTGTACGATTTTCAATGTACACATCATTATCATTTTCATTAAAATTATTTGAAATAATTGTTGACGAAGTAAAACTATGGCTATCATCAATCGCTTCACATGATTCAGGCAATGAAGAAATAGCTATATATTGTTGCAAGACGACCGTAATAAAGCAGCTCCTTTTAGCGATTTAATGTGATTTTCCAAAAAATTTTCAAGATCAGTTGGAATTGAAATAATATGTTTAAATGTTACCGTTTTAAGCTTCTTAAAGCTTGATTCAACTGCTGCTGAAGTCGATATATCATCACCATAACCGAATATCGAAATCATGATGCCCGACCATAAGGGTAATAGTTTCATACTTTTAATAATATAAGGGGCTAATGCTGGTAAGTATAAAGGAACCTTCTTGTATCGAACTCTCACTTCTGTTGTATATATTTTCAGCCCACGATTGAAATGGGTTATCATACTCATTTAATCCTTCATATTCTTCTTCTAAAAAGTTCCTAGCTTCATCATCTGACTCTGCAGCTGCTAATATATCGTTAAATTGCTGTTCAAACGGTACAAGACCCGTAGAAGTGGCGTCAACAAGTATTTTAAAATTTATTTCGCATGGAGTCTCCTGTCCATTTTTGTGAATTCCGCTTGTTTCATTAATTAATACTACAAACAAGCTATGTAGTAATGATTGGACTTCTATCAAAGATTTACATTTTATTAAAAGTCCAATCACTCGTAAAATAATCTCTCTTACTCTCCGAGGTACAGTTTTTAATGGAGTCCATTTTGTGCAAATTTTTAAAAAATGTGCCACATCAATTCTCACAAAACACCACGGAACCAAATGTGAATTTGAATTTAGTTCTTTAGTTAACAGGTCTGAACAAACTCGTATATATACTAGAAGTGAAGAGTATTGAGTGAAACTTTGAACAACAGCGGAAAGTAGGGCCAAAGAGTTATCACAAACCGTTTCCTTCGGTTTTTTTACGTCTGAACTTATCCAATTTAATAGCCAATTTGAAATAGATAAATTGTTATGTTTTTCGCTCACTATGTTTGTTACAATAAAATTTACGTTTTTTGTGCTATCACACACCAGGTCTGTCTTCATATAAGTATAATGAGTTAGTTTTTTTTTCACCAAATTTATGAAATTTTTTCACGACCGAACCAGTAGCATCAATGACTAACTTTGGTATTTTAGTACTATTACAGTATCCTCTGTATATATGAATTTGTTCTGCACAATGATAATGCACATAAAAAGGATCGTACCCTATGTCATGGATTACATTAATGTATTCGTTTTCCATTTTCATTATTGCTAAAGATGACAATGTATCTTAATGTATGTTAATGTTCTATATGGTGCCCCAGTGGGCCCCACACTCCCTGCACGTGAACATGATCATGTTGAGTGGGCCATTATTATGTTGATATAAATAAAATCGTACTCTTTAATGCTAAAAACAATAAACATCATTTTACTGTGTTAACAGAATAATTTTATTACATCATATAATTTGATGAAAATGTTTTAAACAATTTTGATAATAATTATGCCGAAAAAATGAGATACAATACAACTTAAGTTGTAAAAAAAAAATAATATATAACAATTTTAAAGAAAAAAAAAGGCATCGGACAAGACGAGGCGATGTGCGGGGGTACGTGATGGCGAGTGGGTGGTGATGCAGATAATGATAGCCACTGGTCACCTCTACACAGTTCTCGCGGCTGTCCTGCGGGGCGGACGAGAGTCGCGGACGCGTTTGCTCTGGACGCGAAGACGACCATGGCAGCGGGCGAAGCCAGGCCACGACGGCTGCGAGAGCGATGACGACAGTTGGTGACGAGCGGCTAGTGCACGATGTAGTGCGCTCGACGTTACTGCGCAGGCGCTGAAGACGACTGTTGTGCCGGCGACGACGGTGACCAAAGCTCGGAGCGAGCGGCGAAGACTATAATAATATCGGCCGACAGGATCAGACCATTGTAGAGCGAAAAAGGGAGAGAATCAGCGGACAGCATCGCAACGCGCCGATGTCCTGATACTCTCCGTGGTTTTCGCCCTGGCGTCCGAACTCTGAAACGTTTCGTTTCTTCGAGCCCGGCGCTGCTGAAGTCCGTGTTCCTGGCCAACCTGCAATTATAAATAGTCATCCGTCACTCACCCGCGGTGAGCTCTGAGGTCTCCGTCGCCGCCGCCATGAGTCGTCTTCGTGCAACACTGCGGCAGTCGTCACTGGTACCGTCGGAACGGCGTCGATGTCCGAGCCGGTACCGCTAGCCGTCCGTCGTCGTGTCGTCGTCGCTTTCGGACCGAAGCAGCCGGGCGCCAGCCGCGCCGCCAGAGGGTCTCGCGTGTCGGCGACCTCGAGCGCGCGACGTCCGCGATCCCGTCTCGCTACCGCCGGTGCAGGCCGCGGAGAACGTGTAGCGGCGACTTACCGCCGGTCACCCCAAAAGTGCACTGTCACGTACCTAAACCTCGACCCCGCTTCATCGCCTCGCCTTGTCCGCTGCCCTCGGCCAGGGGGGAACTCTCGGACGGTTTCACTTCGGGGAACAAGTAACAACAGCAGAAAACGCGTGCGGCCTGGGTGATGCCTGTCCACGCAGCGGACGCGATCCTCGCCGCCGTCCGTCTGGGCGGACCTGCGCGTTTTGCTAGCTTTGCCCCCGGGTCCAGCCAGCCGATCAAGTCTCCGATGCTGTTCCTGACCTCAGCTCCCCTGGCCGGTGTGACGAACTCCTCCGCCTCGTCACCGGGCCCTTCCACAGGCGCCTGCACAGCTGGCACGACGTCCACGTCGTCTCCGATCCGTTCAACCGGTCCAGTCAGACTGGAATCGTCGTCCGGTTGAATGGTTTCCGACGAGTCGCCGGCCGCGAACTGGGTAGCATAGTACAACAGGCCCGCCAAATCCGAAACCGTAGGCTCTTCTCGGTAGTTGTCGAATACGCTGAGTTCTGCTTCCATAATGTCATACTTGATGTTATTGATGATGTTCCTCATGGCGTCCTCTACGGGGTTTCTCGATTTTTTGGGTTTCGGTAGTATGCAATTCAGCCATTTTCACAGGCAAATTGTACGCGTGTAGGTATAGTCGGAATATTAAATTGCAAGTGAGCTGATTCCGAATTTCGTCCTAGGCCGTCGCCGTTAAGGCGGCTCTTAGTGGCTATTATTTAAGGGGACCAATTTAGGCAATTTCTAATCTTGTCGTCGCCGCCCGTAATCTATGTGTTAGTCGTAAATGATTATTAGTGTGAAATTCGAAGAAATTCGAACTCGATAACAATAGATTTTATATCGCCCGGCTGCGGGCACACGGTTCAATAGCACACGTACGCGCATGCACAAGTCAAAGTAATCACTCTCGAAAAATATTTTTGTACACTCACAACAGTGAAAAATGCTAATAAGCTGGCGAAAAATACACATACTTCTAGTAGTCCAATTTCAATTTTGAAAAATTATTTGAATTCGTCAGCCTCTTTTCTATGATTTGTAGGAAACCGATATTGAATATTTTAGATAATTTACGTATATTACGGTTCCAAATGACTGCTTGATTTCTCAAATTTGACTTGCACTTTTAAGTGCTAACTAGACAAAAATATGAAAAAGTATTTCCTACAGATCATAGAAAAGAGGCTAACGAATCCAAATAAGCATTCAAAATTGAAATTGGATTACTAG